ATAAAGTGAGTTATACTTCCTGTTTTATGCAGTTTACTCCACCGACATTTCTACTGTTCTAGATTCTTATGGATAACCACTACTTATTCTGCTTTGGCCAGTCTGATGCATCAATGTTTGCACTAATTTCTTACAGTTATATTGCGCTGAAGTGCTCTTATATCAGTTTTGTGTTGAGTATTTAGTTTATTGCAAGAACTAGTACAATACTACTATAGTGTTATCTGTTTGATTTCACAATTCTCCGGTTGGAATTTTATATCATGTCTAAAACTTGGACGGTTCTTCTCCATGTCGTCTTGTTATGCCACTATGAAAGTAAGAGTACATTAATTAGCTAGGATGGTAGCAGACTGGTAAAGTTAAATGGAAGATTCTAGAAGTGATGATAACTGTGGATTTAATCTTGCGTTCTTGTCATTTTTTATTAAGTCATACTTGCTTTCTAAATGTCAGTTGAAAGGACTAGAATTAAGAGAAAATTGGGGATGGCTTCATATCAGTGCAGGTTGCTGTAGTGGATTTATCTCACTATAATAGCAAAGTGGAGTGATAAAATATTGAGCACAGTCTAATATCATCACGAAGCCAGCTATATAATTCAAGGGTATGTTGCCCAGGGTATTGCCAATGTAGTACAAAAGTTTGAGCCCAATCTATTTACTTGTATTGAAATGGTTTAGTATCTGTTTTTTTAATGTTTGGCATGACTGCTAGCCAATTGCATCTCTGTTGAGCTTCTTAGCATGGAGTTCTTAACACAATGAAGCTATTAGGCGATATCAATTATTTTCGGTAAAATTCTTTCAGGTTGCGTCCTGGTGGGACTATGGTTACCAAACAACTGCTATGGCTAACCGTACCGTTATTGTGGACAATAATACCTGGAACAACACACATATTGCAACTGTTGGTACTGCCATGTCGTCTCCTGAAAAGGCAGCTTGGGAAATTTTTCAGTCTTTGGATGTAAAATATGTTCTTGTTGTCTTTGGAGGTTGGTTTCTTACTTCAGGATAGACTCCAAAAAAATTTGTGGAGGAAATAAAACACTTTTCTAAAAGGTGACTTTACATTTCAGGTGTTGTTGGCTATCCTAGTGATGATATTAATAAGTTCCTATGGATGGTTCGCATAGGAGGGGGTGTATTCCCTCACATAAAGGAGCCTGATTATCTGGTAAGTAGTTAGTTCTAGCAATTGTTATTGCAAATAGAAATTTACCACGATTATCCTCCAATTGACAATACTACTTTAGCAGATATTGAGCTTTGACCCCATCATGTATTTTACAATTTAGTAATTAAAAGTTGAATGCAAACGCTCAAATACTATGCATAATACTCTCATGTCCTGCCTACTTGGTTATATGTGAATATGTGATTTCGTACTCTATGGCAAGAAGTGTTAAATAACTTACAAGCAGGAAAAAAATTATGAATAAAATGAATAATTAGTTATGCAAGAGCATCCTAGGTGTGGAGCATTAGTCCCCGCACTAACTTTGGTCTGCTCCAATTCACTTGAACATAGGCAATGGGATAAGGAAACTGAATTCGCCTCTCCCACAAGTTGCGGTTTTTGGGCCAAGTGGTTTGGTCTTCCTCGGTCAGTAGTTTTGAAAAAGTGAGTTCTAACAAGTATCAATCTTTAAAAAGCATTAANGCCTCTCCCACAAGTTGCGGTTTTTGGGCCAAGTGGTTTGGTCTTCCTGGGTCAGTAGTTTTGAAAAAGTGAGTTCTAACAAGTATCAATCTTTAAAAAGCATTAATTTTTTTTAGAAAAGAAGCCTTTTTCCATCCTTAGGTAAGTATAACTTGTTTTGCCTGAGTGGTAGTGTTTACTTTGGGTTTTCTTATGATAATCATAAAACAATTTCAGGATATTGATCAATAATTAAATATCATTAAGTGATAATGGTAAAGTCTAAATGTCAATGATGCAATCATATGTTGGATAATGCGAGTAGAAATGTCATCATATTGACATGGTATGCTTCAAGCATATTACACTATCTTTATTTAAAACATTTTTCAGCATGAACAGGTCCATGGTATGCATTTCCAAACTTAGTTTTGCTTAGCCTGATTAATACAAGGGTGGTGGGTGACAAATAATCTACCCAAAAATCACACAACAGATAATAAATTTACCTATATTTTTTCTTATATCAATCGAAAACAGAGGTATGCAATAAACCTCAAAACATGCTGCAAGGGCACACGGAGGAGTTTTCAAAAGAAATATTAACTAATTTTTACCTTGTCTTTTGTCTAAAAGAGAGATGGTCAGTACCGGATTGATTCTCAGGCGACTCCGACCATGCTAAACTGCCTCATGTACAAACTATCCTATTACAGGTGTGCATTGCTTCAACATCATTATTTATATGGTGATTGTGCAGGTTGCGACTCTTGCTAGTTTACATCCTTGATTTTATCTGTTTTATCTAGATTTGTGGAGACAGATGGTAAAGGCTTTGATAGAGTCAGGGGAACTGAAATTGGAAAGAAACATTTTAAATTGACCCATTTTGAGGAGGTATGATGTTCTCAATGGCTGAATTTTGCTTTTTGAAATGTTTAACTCTTTGGCGATGTATAATGCTTTGAGTATATTGTGGAGGAGATTGCTTTGAGTTAACCATATCAAAGATTTATTCTTCTATGACTATGTGACAATCCACACAAGTAAATGTATGGATTGCAGCATTCTCAACTTTCGTTCTGTCCCCTATTTGATTTTGGGTTGCAGTTTCTTCATAGTGTTATCTGTAATTAAGCAAATGCCTATACTCATTTCCTCCTGAAAATAATTATTTGTGGAATATTGCATGAACTTTACTGAACCTATCTAGAATTCATTCGTTTTTATTGTTGTAATTTCATTTGATGTGGAGGACTCATGCCTACTATAATTGTCCTTCTTGTGGCTCCAAATAATTATAGGTGTTTACGACTCACCATTGGATGGTCCGAATATTTAAACTAAAGCCTCCAAAGAACAGGATCCGGGGAAAGACAAAGAAATCTAAATCGGTACCCATGATAATAATTCCTCCATTGTGTGTGTGTGTGAGAGAGAGAGCGCTCACTAACATTGACTTCAACTGTTTTCACTATTTCTATTTGTCAGAAAGCTAGCTCGACGACCAGCTCAAAAAGAAGTGGCAAGAGCCCTTGGCAGTAAAAAGTATTTTATGGGATTTCTTGGCAGGTCAGTTACTTGTGATACACATATACTTCAGTTCCAGTGCCTTAATCTCTTGGGAGGGATCACGTTGGATAAGAAAAATTGTTAGTGAAAGATTTTGGNCGCTCACTAACATTGACTTCAACTGTTTTCACTATTTCTATTTGTCAGAAAGCTAGCTCGACGACCAGCTCAAAACGAAGTGGCAAGAGCCCTTGGCAGTAAAAAGCATTTTATGGGATTTCTTGGCAGGTCAGTTACTTGTGATACACATATACTTCAGTTCCAGTGCATTAATCTCTTGGGAGGGATCACGTTGGATAAGAAAAATTGTTAGTGAAAGATTTTGGGGCCTCTTCTGACCATGTAATTTCTTTCTGAGTTTTAACATTTCACATTTTTTATGGCAGAGAAAAATTTGAGTAATTTTGGACCAGTTCTTCTGGCTGGTACTTACTGTATAATTAGTCTCATATTCCTATGGCCCATCACAAGTAGCTTTTTTGAAGATTTGATATGTTAATTTAGGTATGTATGATTTGCAAATACCTGCTATTGTTGTTGTTGCTTTTGGATCACGATACCTGGCTATATTTGATGTATTGAATAGATTTCTTCGCGTTTTTCCTANTATTCCTATTGCCCATCACAAGTAGCTTTTTTGAAGATTTGATATGTTAATTTAGGTATGTATGATTTGCAAATACCTGCTATTGTTGTTGTTGCTTTTGGATCACGATACCTGGCTATATTTGATGTATTGAATAGATTTCTTCGCGTTTTTCCTATTCGGGTNTTTGCAAATACCTGCTATTGTTGTTGTTGCTTTTGGATCACGATACCTGGCTATATTTGATGTATTGAATAGATTTCTTCGCGTTTTTCCTATTCGGGTGTTCAATGAGGAAGTTTGTGAGTAAAACATTCTCCTTTGATTCAAAATGTCCCGGTTGAAGTCCGGATTATAGAATACTGATCGAGTAGGTATCAATTTTTAGCGCTATTCCTAGATTCATGAATGCTTTCAGTGCAATTGACACTTGATCANTGCTTTGGCCAGTCTGATGCATCAATGTTTGCACTAATTTCTTACAGTTATATTGTGCTGAAGTGCTCTTATATCAGTTTCGTGTTGAGTATTTAGTTTATTGCAAGAACTAGTACAATACTACTATCGTGTTATCTGTTTGATTTCACAATTCTCTGGTTGGAATTTTATATCATGTCTAAAACTTGGACGGTTCTTCTCCATGTCGTCTTGTTATGCCACTATGAAAGTAAGAGTACATTAATTAGCTAGGATGGTAGCAGACTGGTAAAGTTAAATGGAAGATTCTAGAAGTGATGATAACTGTGGATTTAATCTTGCGTTCTTGTCATTTTTTATTAAGTCATACTTGCTTTCTAAATGTCAGTTGAAAGGACTAGAATTAAGAGAAAATTGGGGATGGCTTCATATCAGTGCAGGTTGCTGTAGTGGATTTATCTCACTATAATAGCAAAGTGGAGTGATAAAATATTGAGCACAGTCTAATATCATCACGAAGCCAGCTATATAATTCAAGGGTATGTTGCCCAGGGTATTGCCAATGTAGTACAAAAGTTTGAGCCCAATCTATTTACTTGTATTGAAATGGTTTAGTATCTGTTTTTTTAATGTTTGGCATGACTGCTAGCCAATTGCATCTCTGTTGAGCTTCTTAGCATGGAGTTCTTAACACAATGAAGCTATTAGGCGATATCAATTATTTTCGGTAAAATTCTTTCAGGTTGCGTCCTGGTGGGACTATGGTTACCAAACAACTGCTATGGCTAACCGTACCGTTATTGTGGACAATAATACCTGGAACAACACACATATTGCAACTGTTGGTACTGCCATGTCGTCTCCTGAAAAGGCAGCTTGGGAAATTTTTCAGTCTTTGGATGTAAAATATGTTCTTGTTGTCTTTGGAGGTTGGTTTCTTACTTCAGGATAGACTCCAAAAAAATTTGTGGAGGAAATAAAACACTTTTCTAAAAGGTGACTTTACATTTCAGGTGTTGTTGGCTATCCTAGTGATGATATTAATAAGTTCCTATGGATGGTTCGCATAGGAGGGGGTGTATTCCCTCACATAAAGGAGCCTGATTATCTGGTAAGTAGTTAGTTCTAGCAATTGTTATTGCAAATAGAAATTTACCACGATTATCCTCCAATTGACAATACTACTTTAGCAGATATTGAGCTTTGACCCCATCATGTATTTTACAATTTAGTAATTAAAAGTTGAATGCAAACGCTCAAATACTATGCATAATACTCTCATGTCCTGCCTACTTGGTTATATGTGAATATGTGATTTCGTACTCTATGGCAAGAAGTGTTAAATAACTTACAAGCAGGAAAAAAATTATGAATAAAATGAATAATTAGTTATGCAAGAGCATCCTAGGTGTGGAGCATTAGTCCCCGCACTAACTTTGGTCTGCTCCAATTCACTTGAACATAGGCAATGGGATAAGGAAACTGAATTCGCCTCTCCCACAAGTTGCGGTTTTTGGGCCAAGTGGTTTGGTCTTCCTGGGTCAGTAGTTTTGAAAAAGTGAGTTCTAACAAGTATCAATCTTTAAAAAGCATTAATTTTTTTTAGAAAAGAAGCCTTTTTCCATCCTTAGGTAAGTATAACTTGTTTTGCCTGAGTGGTAGTGTTTACTTTGGGTTTTCTTATGATAATCATAAAACAATTTCAGGATATTGATCAATAATTAAATATCATTAAGTTATAATGGTAATGTCTAAATGTCAATGATGCAATCATATGTTGGATAATGCGAGTAGAAATGTCATCATATTGACATGGTATGCTTCAAGCATATTACACTATCTTTATTTAAAACATTTTTCAGCATGAACAGGTCCATGGTATGCATTTCCAAACTTAGTTTTGCTTAGCCTGATTAATACAAGGGTGGTGGGTGACAAATAATCTACCCAAAAATCACACAACAGATAATAAATTTACCTATATTTTTTCTTATATCAATCGAAAACAGAGGTATGCAATAAACCTCAAAACATGCTGCAAGGGCACACGGAGGAGTTTTCAAAAGAAATATTAACTAATTTTTACCTTGTCTTTTGTCTAAAAGAGAGATGGTCAGTACCGGATTGATTCTCAGGCGACTCCGACCATGCTAAACTGCCTCATGTACAAACTATCCTATTACAGGTGTGCATTGCTTCAACATCATTATTTATATGGTGATTGTGCAGGTTGCGACTCTTGCTAGTTTACATCCTTGATTTTATCTGTTTTATCTAGATTTGTGGAGACAGATGGTAAAGGCTTTGATAGAGTCAGGGGAACTGAAATTGGAAAGAAACATTTTAAATTGACCCATTTTGAGGAGGTATGATGTTCTCAATGGCTGAATTTTGCTTTTTGAAATGTTTAACTCTTTGGCGATGTATAATGCTTTCAGTATATTGTGGAGGAGATTGCTTTGAGTTAACCATATCAAAGATTTATTCTTCTATGACTATGTGACAATCCACACAAGTAAATGTATGGATTGCAGCATTCTCAACTTTCGTTCTGTCCCCTATTTGATTTTGGGTTGCAGTTTCTTCATAGTGTTATCTGTAATTAAGCAAATGCCTATACTCATTTCCTCCTGAAAATAATTATTTGTGGAATATTGCATGAACTTTACTGAACCTATCTAGAATTCATTCGTTTTTATTGTTGTAATTTCATTTGATGTGGAGGACTCATGCCTACTAT